TGATGGAAGGGGTCTGCATTGAACGTTGTCGGGAGAATTTAATTTTGGTCCGTATCTGTCCTATGTAACTCCTACTTCACATGAAACTTAAACAGAACTTACCAGAGAACGACTGGCCTGGCAAGACAATGACACAAATTGAAACACGCACATCTCATTAACAAGCACAAAATTCACTTGGATTTTTTTCGGTACTTACATTTGTAGATATTTAACAGGGTGAAAGATGATTATTTTCTTACTGTACAGTGCGATATCTTAACGTGGCTAGCTTCAAAACAAAAAAGTGCACCCACTGTTAATGGACGTCAAGGCCAAATACGAGGACCGATGTACCACAGCAGAAGCTTTTGGTGAAATGACATGTCCCTTCACTCGCTTCGATGAATTAAAGCTTTAAATAACACGTGTATTGGCCATACCGAGACATGCTGATGGCAAAAACAGATTATAACAGGCCTCTTGATAAAGGTCAGAGGATATATGCTTGATATAACACCTGCGCAAGCGCTAAATGCCATGGTGTGTGCTGCCCGGGAGGCGAAGTGCCCACACACGAGCTAAAAGAAGCCACGGCAGAACAGTGTAGGCCTAGCGCCGTGAACTCGCCTATGCGGTCCTTTGTGTTGACGTTCAAAGCTTATGTTATAATCTGCATTTAGGTGTTTTTGCTTGTCTTGTAAAGTGTACTGTGTTCGAAGCTCAGCATAATGCACTGACGCAAAAATTCATTTCATACACGGCATCAAATTGCGACTGGTTCTCATCATATGTACCACAATATGCAAGAGATGAGGAAGTACTAGATGATAGTAGATCCAAATGTAGCATAGAGAAACCATGTAGATAAGGTATCCGTTTGTCGCCACGTTAAAGGAAATTTCACTATTCATTTTAAAACCGAACCACTATATTACGGTTCACGAGCCGTGAAGTACTGTTTCAGAATCGTCACACAATTACCTATATTTATTTCTATGGAAAATTTATTCACGAATAATAATAACAATATGGTTTGTACATATATCGCGTCCTGATATCACAAGTTTTCATCACCTACTGTTTGTCACAATCTTAATAATTATAAAATAATGTCTCAAAAACATATTACAACCAACATTCAGTGAATATATATATATGGATATAATTCATCTTGACAAAGAACATATTTATTAATAAAGATTAGGCATATTTATTACCTTCATACATTACTTGTGATTTAAATTTCTTTCCGTTTTGTTACTGCATCACTATCTGTTCGTTTCCGGGTCTTTCGTTCACAGTGGCAACTTCCCAAATCGTCTACTGCAAAATCAATAAACTATTTATATTAGTCCAGAGAGTGAATTCATGTGCTTCGTTTGGTCTTCACAAAACTGCAATTTTTTCCCAAACACAAACTGACTGATCATTGTACCAGAGATGGAGCGCGTTTTCTCGGCGAGATTAACGGCATTTTTAAATATTATTTAGATGAGCCCCATGCTTCATTCAGAAGGTTCATGTACACAGTCCCTCTACACTGGGTTAACAAATATTTGATATTCCGACGTGCTGTGTGTATTTGGCATTCTCAGTAGCCGGATGATAAGAATATTTGAGACAAGTGGCCACGTTATATATGAGCTACTATATATTATAGATATGTCCAGTCAGAATCAGCCGGGCAAACGGTCGGAAGTGACGCAGACAAAGGACTCTGGGTCTAGCTGGAGGCTCATTCTCATGCCTGGCCAGACTTTCTGCTCACAAACACAAGCAGCCAGGCTTAAATTACAGATCTCTTTCCAGGCTAAGTCACTCTTTGACTCTCACCACTTTGTATTTTAGAGGAAGTTGAGAACTGAGACTTTCACATGGATACGGTCTTTTATTATCGGGACAGAACAAATACACACGGAATTGCCATCGAGGATAGAACAATGAAGAGGCAAGAAATCAACCACAACACTGTTCTCCTTTTTGATAAAACATTAAATGCAGAGATGCAAGACAAAAAGTAACGAATCTTGGGAAGAATCCGAACCCACTCAATTGCAGCGTCTGGGAACACAGGTCTGAAATACGCTAGTCAGTTTTTTTACTTATTTCGAAGGTAAAAGTTTGAAAAGAGAAAAAGAAAAATGTAACGAAAGATTAAGAGAAATGATAGAAGGGAAAGAAAAGCAAGGAAAATAAAAGACTCGAAAAG